ACTGTGGTGCCCATTCTCATCACCACCAGCAGTATCCAAAAGATGCAGCTGATCTAACCCCCAGCCCATACTTGTGGTCCAGAGTTTGGGGTGTAGCCACACTGAAGGTGGAAATAGTTGTATCTATCTTTAAAAAGAGAGCGAGAGAGAGAGAAAGCTCAGAAGTGATTTACTTTTATTTTATTTACTTTTCTTTAAGCCCATCATGAAATTTCCTAGTGATTTCTGAGGTGCTGTTCAAAATCTTAAGGGATATGGCCTAGTTGGCTTGGTATATGCAAAGCATGCCTCACTGGGGCAGTTAGAGGAGCACGGACTGCCCTGCCACAAGGTGGGTAATGTTCTGAGAGTTCAAGTGTCCTCTATGGCTTCCAGCTTATGCATCTCTATTAGGACACCACCTGCAGGAAGTTGGGAGTCAGCTCAGCTATCTTGGACTCATCCTTGTCAGAGATGATAGGCACCTTCTTCTGCGTTTCAGCCCTCTCTGCTTCCTGCTGGGCCACCTGTTTGTTTTCTACTGTTTCTGTAAACTCCTTCCTAAAGTCAGATGAGTCAGGGACGGGTCATCCTGGATGATCCCAAAGGTCATCACTTACCTACCTGGAGAACTGTGCTCTCTGGGTGATAGGTTCTCTAGCAACAAAGTGAGCCACCACAGACTTGAGGATCTCCTGGTGAAGGACAGCAGCACACTCATTGTATTTCTTTCCCAGCTACTGTAGATGTGAGGAAGCCAGTTCACAACAGACCAGAAGAGAATGCACAGTGTGATGTTGACATTCTATACATTTTTGCTACCAGTAATGACTGGCCCATTAGATGGCCCAGAGTGGCAGTTAATGGTAGTATCTGTACCCAATGGATGAGAAAGTGAGATCCTTTGCCTACCACAATGTCCTAAACTCTATGCCCAGCATTCACATTATATGAAGCAGAGTTCATCATGTATCTCTGTGATGCTAAAGACCAAGCCAATGGACTTCAACCCATTGACAGCCTGTTTCTTCCACTGGACCCATTCACACTCTGAATTTCACATGAATCCCCTAGTGTGTGTAGTCTGTTTCTATCTTCTAACTAAAACTTCAATGTGACATCTGCCTCCATTTTACATGGCTATTAAACATCCTGTTCCAACAACACCAAAGGCCATTATACTGGTTGTGGCATTGGGAGGATGGAAGATGGCCACTGGCAGCCCTCCTCATTTAGTATTTACTGTGGCAGATGGGCTATCCCAAACTTTTATCCCATCTATAAGTTAACCTTGTCCTCAGATCTTGTTGCCTGCATCCTCTTCAGGGGTTACATTTATCTATAACCCACCAGAGAAGCCACCTATTATACAGCCATTGTCTCTCCTAGCACCTGCCATTGGCCTCAGCACTTCAGCTGTGAACATGGTCACACTATTTTTGCCAAGATAACAGGCTGTTGTTCTTATGTGAGGAGTTTGGACCTGAGTTTCTGTGTCTTTAAGACTACACCGACATGTCCTAAGTATGGGCCCTCTGAAGTTATCCCATTTGACCACCACTAGTCCACCAGAGCCTGGCACAAGTCAGAGTCAGGATAAACCAGGAGTTTTGGGCCCTTTCTCAGAAGCCCTAGTACCTAGCTATTGTGACAGCTCTCACTGTTCCCTTTTCTTTTCTGAACTTTAATGCCTCTCTACTTCATCTGCATAAACAGAAAAGTTCAAAAGCTATGTACATATGACCACATAAGATGATATTAAGTGAAATGAACCTCAAGATAGGGACACAACTTGTTTTTTCTTGCTTGCTATTGTTTGGAACATATCTAAAATGTGATTTTTTTTGTTTCTCTTGTATGTTCTTCCCCCACGGTATAACCCCTGTTTTTACTGTATTTGACGTTGGTGCCCTGCATCTTGTATATACATTTTCCTAATTTGGGGAAGGGAAGGGAAATAACAAAATGCTGAAACAAGGATACAGGTTGACCTATTTTAACAAAGTCATGTACAAGGCACTATGTTGAAAATGAACTTTACAACTTGGGAGGGGAGGGGGGACTTGGGGAGGCAAGGAGGAAAAGGATGGTAGGGGGAAAACAAAGGAGGAAGTAACAATGCTCAACAGGAAATGTACTCATTACCTTACTCATAACTGTAACCTCTCTGTATACTATTTTTTACAATAAAAAACAAAAATCTGCATAATCTAGATGAGAACTACAGCTATGATTAGAGATGGCTTCATTTCCTGATAAGACACATACCAAAGACACAGTTACCAAAACTGGCCTACAACTCCTAGACTCAAGCAATTTCCTGCCTCAATATCCAGAGTAGTTGACTCTATAAACAAAAGGCCCTGCACCAGCTGGAATTATTCTTTGATATACTTTCAAAACTAGGACAACAAAGACTGGCTCAAAGCAGTTACTGAATAGTTTAGAGTTAAATCAATAAAGTGATCACCAGGTGAGCATAGGTGTCAGGGCAGCCAGGAGCAATGAGTCACAATTGAAGAGGTAGTGAGCTCCCCAGGATGGCTGGAGATGCTGACTTCCTCACTGTCCACAGATGCAACTCTAAAACCCCAAATGCTCCATCTACCCTATGGGGGTCTTTTTCCCTCAGAACTTCTTTCAAAGACATTGGTAAGCATGGCTCCACAGTAGTTTTCTCTGCATGACTCAAAGTTGGGTGAGCTGAGTCTGTGGTAAGTACTGCCCCTTGGGACAGGAAGCAAGAGTCAGTGTGACAAAAGAACTACTGGGATGTGCATGGACTGGATTTTCTTACACCTTGAGGACAATCTCTTCCTGCCTTTCATCAGTTTCTTTGAAAGGAAAAAAGTCACTGTAGAAAGAGCAAGATGACTGTATGGGAGTTTATTTTGTAGTACTGGGGTTTGGACTCAGGGCCTTATGCTTGCTAGGCAGGCACTTTACCATTTGAGCCACATACTTCCAACTTATTGTTTAAGTTATTTTTCAGATAGGGTCCTTGGTATTTGCTGAACCATGTTCCTTCTACTTATGCTTCCCTTTGTATCTGGGATGACAGGCATTCACCAGTGGGCTCACTTTATGTGTTGAGATAGGGATTCCCAAATGTAATAAATGACTTAGAATCTAACTATAAACCTCTCATTCTCTCCAGCCAAGCAGCTGGAATCACAGCCGTGAGCCACTGATCCTTGACTTGAGAGTTAGAGTTAGTTTTTATATGTCTGCTCTTAGAAGGGTTATATGGACTAGTTAAAGGCTTAATAGAAGATGCTAGCTGTTCCATGGTAGACATTTTTCATATTACAGTCAGGCACTTGAAACTCTAACACTGCCTTATAGATAAAAACCATGGTGGCCTTGGGGGTGAAGCCAGTACTCAGGTACTATGGTCCATGACTGTTCCAGGTGCAACTTAGGCACAACTTGTCAGAGATAGCAGCTCAGGTGTGCTGCACAAACCAAAGGGAAGAACCTTGGAGGGGAACCCAAGCTCACACACTGGGGCTTAGCATGCAGATCCTGGTATGTCCACGGAAGCAGGAAGCCCATGCCTCTAGCAAAGCAGGACCACCCGACAGGGGATTCAAGGCCATTTCCCCTTCCCTGTGAGAAATCTGGGGGCACGACCAACAAGAGAGAAACGGGGAGGAGCAGCATACTGAGGTCTAAGGACAATAGTAAAAAGCGATCCTACAACTCCACAGTTAGTGATTTCCTCCCATTCTCCTGGAACTGGCTCCCCTTGTTTATATCCAAGTAAACCAGGCCGAGCCCATCAGACTCCCCTGCAGCCGAGGCCAGTTTCTGCCCTCTCTGGTGGGCCTAGAGTTTTCCTACGTTTCTCCTCTGCCTGGAAAGCTGTGGCCTATTTGCCCTGGATGCCAGGCAGCAGTCACCTCCCCCCCGGGGTGGGGGAGGAGAGCATGGGTCATCCCCTTGGGCCGGGGGAAGGGACATCAGTCACAGGAAATTAACTTTCTCCCATAAAGACTGGGGTGTCCGCCATGCCCCTGGGCGAGTGAGCAGGGCTCATGATGCTCCGCACAGGGGAGTGTGGGCTGCGGGAGGTGGCCGGTGTCCCCTGATTTGTCAGAGGCACTGTGGGGGGCGGAACCTAAGAGGAAGTGGGGAGGAGGTGTCCCCTGATTTGTCAGAGGCACTGTGGGGGGCGGAACCTAAGAGGAAGTGGGGGGGGGACGTGTCCCCTGATTTGCCAGAGACACTGTGGGGGGCGGAACCTAAGAGGAAATGTGGGGGGAGGTGTCCCCTGATTTGCCAGAGGCACTGTGGGGGGCGGAACCTAAGAGGAAGTGTGTTGGGGGGGGGAAGGTGTCCCCTGATTTGCCAGAGGCACCGTGGGGGGCGGAACCTAAGAGGAAGTGGGGGGGGGGAGGGAATGAGCCTGCCATAAAGTGACAGAGCGGGGCGGGTGTAACTTGAGGCGCATGGCACACATAGCATCGCGAGACCTTGCGGGCCGTGACTTGGCATGCGGAGCATCGCGAGACCTAGCAGCATGGCTTGGCACGCCACGTACTTGCAAACGTGGCGACGTGGGACCCGCGGGAGCCGGTGTTGGCCTGGCAGCGGGGCCACTGAAGTAAGTTTTCACCCATTCTCTCCAGTGTGTTGAGACCCGATTCCTGAAACCGCCGGTGTGTCCTGACCTAGCCACAGTTTCCCTCGCTTACGTTGAAAGGGTTTCTAGAACCTTCCGTCACGACCTTTCCCCCTGTGTTTTGACACGCCTCCCGTCAGCCTGTCCTTAACCCAGGCCAGGCACAGCAGCCATGGGGACCTTGACCTGAGTGCGGGTGTGTGGTCTTGGGGCTTGAATTCAGGACCTGGGTGCTCTCCCCGCGGGGTGTTGGTTCGAGGCCAGCACTCTACCCCTGGAGCCACAGCTCCAGCTCCGGCTCTTGGCTGGTTAGTTGGAGATAAGAGTCCCAGGGACTTTTCTGCCCTGAGAGGCTTTAAACCTCAGTCCTCAGCTCTCAGCCTCCTGACTAGCGAAGATGACAGGTAGGAGCCACTCCTGCCTGGTTTTCACCACTTCTTAAAAGCTTGCGAAAGAAGAAGGGGAGGGAGGGAGGGAGGGAAGGAAGGAAGACACAACTAGCAAGTGTCAGTGTGGACTCGAAGGGCATAATGCGCAGCAGGCAGTGATTTGGAAAAGCTGGCTCCTTGGACTTCCCAGGTAATTGAAGGCCACCTCTCTCCCCAGGGTGGGTTCACATCCCCTAGCTAGGTGATGCCTATGCTTCCATTGCCCTGCCTTGGGAAGGAAGCTGCTCAAGCCCTAACATGAAGCAAGCTTCCAATTTTGATAAAATGTATTTAAAGGAAGCCTCTTTCAGCCCAGATATATTGAAGGGTTGATTGACCTATCTGAGTCTGTCTCTAATGTAGATAGGGAAGCCTCTTCTTCCCAGGCCTGCAATGGTATTGGGAACAATCCATGGATCAAAGCCGGTGTTAGGATGATGGCCTGCCTACTGCTTAACACAAGGTGGTTTCTGAAAGGGGTGATGCTGGCTTCTAGAGTTGCTAGAAGGTTCCTTGTGAGGAGTTAATCATAGCTGATACATGTGAAAAAGGCTTCTCCCTCTCCAAGGGTTGTGTGGATGTCCTTGTCACTGATGTTCTAGATTATTCTTCTTCCTTACTGAGGAGGCTTTTTGCTGTGGCAGGAAGTTAGTGTTATCTCATCGAGATTCTGAGAAGTAGCTGAAGGATACAAGGAGCCGTATAACCTGGGGCTGCTTGGTTGGTGGTCATCTGAGGAAGAGCTAGGATTCTTTATTGACTGGGGATGCTTTTATAGTGCTGCATCAACATCAATGACCATTGTGGAAAGGTCCCACACTGAGAGACTTTACACCTATCACCTCTTCAGCCCTCCACATGGGGCTAATGCTTCTGGACTTCAGGCCCTGAGAGTTTACCCAGGAGGACAAAGAAAGTCTGAGGGAGGCTCTTCACTGACTATTGAGAAGGCAGAAATAAGGATGGGGTCATTCTGTTTTGTTTTTTTTTTTATTTAAAACATTCTGGGTTTTTTTAAACAGTGGTTTCTCTTCAGATCATATTAATCCTTTGCCTTTTACTAAGTTGTTCCTTGGTATCTGCAGATTTGTTTCAGAACTCTCACAGATCCAAATTCCACAGCTTCTCATGTGGCTTATAGAGAGAATGGTACTGTGTTTGTACTTATCCTCCCATATTTAAGTCATCTATAGATGACCTGTGATAATATGATGTAGATGCTATCCTGGTAGGTTGTTATACTACATTGTATAGGGAATAACAACCAAAAAATCTGTTCATATTCATTATAGATCCAGACTTTTTCCCAATGTTTTCCACCTGTAGTTGGTTGAATCTACAAATAAGGGTTTATGGATGTATAAGCCAGCTCTGTCTCTGTGGGATTTTTTGTGCTTTCTAGTGACATTTCATCTGGAAAGGCATCTGGAGGAAGGCAAGCTGTCTGCGCCCCTATGAGCCCCATGAAAAGGAAGGTGCTGTTAATTGTAGTTGTGGGCAGGGTGGCCACATGTGCGGTGGAGAAGTGATGGGAGGTGACCCATGCTTTGTGACCCTTTGCCACCTATCTGAGACTAAAGAGGCCATCTCCATGGTGATTCTGGGGAACCAGTGAGTAAATACTTATGTAGTACGGAGAACCTCACCTGGCTCATAGCAGTGGGCCTTCATCCTTCATGCTTAGCTAGCACTTTGATTAGTGCTTGGATGGAGTTGTCACTCAAGTTCTGGGGGCGGGAAATGAAATTTACTTTGCTACAAGATTCTAACAGGTCTTACAAGCCTAGACCATGTTCTTTAGGCTCAAGTGTCCTCTAAAGAGACTGTTTTGGGGTGCCATGGCACTGAATATGGGACCCAGGACACCAGAGATCTAATATTGCCAAGTACCTTCCTATACTTGGGACCACGTGATGGTCAAGAAACTGTGCAGCTGTCAGGCCACACAAGCCCAGGTGTAACCCAAAACAGCATAAGAAGAGGTGGCATTGAAGCAACAGGAGCACCTCATGAGTGCTATTTGTGTTGTACCATTTCTCGTGGCAACTTATACTCCTAACAGAGTCTTGCCAGCTCGTGTGAGCCTCAGTTTGGTACTAACAGGAGGTCCTCAGAGGTGACTTCTGTGTGCTTCTATCACCATGATCCATCTCTGATGTATTGAGCTGTATGCCAGATCTTTCTTACCAGTTCAAGCAGGCATCTGTGTTTGGGCACAGGCCTTGGAGGCAAGAGGCTTGAATGCTACCTGCAGTCAGTTGGAATTACTCCTTAGGTAGAGAAAATCATGTTTCACTCTCATGCATAGTCTTGAGAATAAGACACAACAAGAGCATATTTAGTGAGTACAGTGTGTGGACTTCTACATCCTTTAAACATATGCATATATTAAAGGGTCATTTCATGGTGGGACACACCTGTGGTACCTGGCCTTGAGCTTTTACTCAAGGAACTATTTGGATCCCCAGCTCTCTGGTCTGGCACCATTTGAAGTTGTTTCAGCAGGATAAATGGCCACAACTTGCAGGGTAACCTGAGCTTCATGAGAGGGTACTGAGCTCATTGAGGGCCAAGCTATTGTCCTGAGGCAGAGTTGAGTCAGTAGGGCCATCTGCTCAGTCACAGGTGAAGCCTAGCTTATTATGGTATAGGAACGTTGCAGAATCTCTGAATTTTTCAGTAGATTAAATATTCATGAGTTCCAAGGCTTTGATTTCCTCAACTTGACTTAAGGAGACTTCTTTATTTATAGGTCATTCTTACCTTGCCCTAGAAGTGAGTTCATGTCCTGCATGCCTTAAAGAAGATAGAGTAATAGCCAGATGGTCCTGACGGAAAGGTAGGAACTGAAAGATGAGTGTGTTGGTGTCCCATGATTGACTTATCAGTTCATTTTTCCATGCTCACATATTTTGAATCATCTGGAAGGTGATGCAAAACTTAGAAAAGGAGGAGCCTGCTTAAGGGATACTGGTTACTGTGAGCAAGCAGACTACAGGCCCAGCATTTGTGATTCAGACCACAGAGTTCCAGGCCAGGTACCATCGCCGAAGAATCGGGGTTTTCAGGACAGGTAGGTTCTGGTTAGTGGTATAGTAAGATGCACGTGGAGGCTTTCCAATGGGTTGTGTCCCTGGAATTGAGGTTTTATAGTAGTGGCTATTTGCTTCCTGGCTCTGTTTCTTGTAAGAAAGTCAGCAGAGTTTACTTATTGGGCCTCTTTGCAGCCTCAACTTCACATGTGTATTTGTGATAGAGATATCTGCCTGGATCCCATTCTTTTTCCCACACACCTTCTTACAGAATCTGTAGCAGGGCACTAAGGCAGACTTGAGCATCCCTCCAGATTGTGATCTTATTATCTCAGTTTGTTTTTTCTCTTTTCCATGTGTGGAAGTCGAAAAGATAGATCACCTCTGTGTTCTTCAGGGAAGAGCAGGTATCATGATTGAGTTAATGGACTGGTTCTAACTCACCAATTACAGTGTACCAGCCTCATATTGAGGTTTGGATTTGCAACATTTTCCTAGAGGATCATTTGCCTATTTAGAAACTAGACTGATGGTAAATCTGGATGTAAGCCTGGCAAATGTTGCCTAGAAACTGCCTAAGGAGAAGAGAGAACCCTACTTCCAGCTTCAGAAAGGATTAGACTTTCCAGGACCAGGGTGGCCTCAGCATTGCTCCTTCCCATCTTAGCTAGGAAGGAGGTTGTCTTATTGCCTGTTTATAATGCCTTGGTAGTGCTGGCCATTCACCACAGTGACCTTGTGCTCACTAGTAATGGAATGGAGTCATATGTCGCATCCCTTCACTTTACTTTCTAAGTTTACCCTCTTCCTGTCTGTACTGGTGACTCATTCTTTTCTTCTTGTTGTTGTTAGTCCCAAATGGAATTTAGCACAGGATGAATTTTACTTTTTTAATTGCTGTTATAAAGGTGATTTACAGAGGGGCTACCATGTCATATGAATTGAGTATTGTTACATATATAATGAGTACATTTCTTTTGAACAATATCACCCCTTCATTCTCTCCCTGTTTTTCCCTCCCATCCCCACCCACAAGTTATATAATTCATTTTACCAAAGTGTCTGTTGAGTACCACTGCTGCGTTTGTTCACCCTTTATCCTTCCATTGCTGTGACAACCTTACCCCCCGCCCCAAATTAAGACAAAAAGAAAAAAAACCTCTTTTTTCCATTTCCTAGAATTCACTTTGATCAATATTATTTTATATGGTCAGAGGTACAGAGGCATTGCGCCTTTGTTTCTCCCCAAAGAGTATTCTCTTTTGTTCTCACTGTGTGTAAATGCCTAGGATCCTGTATAATTTATCATGTCCTGGTATATTTTAGATATAGTTTCTGCATATTGGAAAAAAACATGTGCCATTGGTCTCTCTGAGCTTAGCTTCCCTCACTTAACATGATTTGTTCTAGGTCCATCCATTTCCCTGCAAATGACAAAATGTTATTCTTTCCAATGGTTGTGTATAATTCCATTGTACATAGATACCATATTTTTTGGATCCACTCATACATTTTTGGGCATCTGTGCTGTTTCCATAACTTGGCTATTGTGAATAGTACAGTAATGAGCATGGATGTACAAGTATCTTTACAGTGTCCTGGCTTGTGATGTTCTGTGTAGATACCCAGAAGTGGTATGGCTAGGTCATAGGGAAGAGCCTCCAGGTCACTGTCCAGAGTGGTCGTACTAGTTTACATTTCCACCAACAGTACAATAGGGTTCCTTTTTTACCACATTCTCACCAGTATTTGTTATTGTTCAAATTCACAATGTTGGCCAGTCTAACTGGGGTGAGATGAAATCTCAGGGTTATTTTGATTTGCATTTCCTTTATGGCCAGTGATTGCTCATATACTTTTTGTTTTGTGTTGCCATTCTTACCTCTTTTTCTGAGGAGTCTCTCCTTAGCTTCTTTGCTCATTTAATGATTAGTTGATTAGCTTTAGAAGGGGTTAATTTCTTGAGCGCCTTATATATTTTGGATATTGGGCCTTTGTCAGCTGTATTGCTGGTAAAGATCTCTCCCAGTTCATTAGCTTTTTAGTTTAGTAACTAAACAGAACATTTTATTTTGATGTAGTCCCATTTGTCAAGTCTCTCTCCTATCTTCTGTGCCCCTGGAACTCCTTTCAAAAAGTTTCTGCATCTAGCCTTGAGCTGAAGAGCTGAGGGACAGTGCTCAGGCCCAGAGTTCAGGCCCCACAACCGGACCAAAAAAAAAAAAGTTTCTGCCTATGTGGTGGCTCATTCTTAATGTGTGGCATGTCTTGTGCTAGTGGCTCTGGTTGGGGCAGTGCTGTTCTTGTTTCTTGTTCGCTTAGGATACCTTTGCCTTAGGGCCCATGTCTGGCTAGGTCTTAGGGTTTGCAAGCCAGAGAGTTTAGGGAACATTCTGACACTGCTGTAGTGTAGCAGAGCTGGAAAGAGTTAAAAGTGATATCCACACATGTACCTGTAGTCTGGGTAGCTCTGAGGATAGCTCATACTAGCAGAGTATGTGTCTTTTCCTCCTCTCATCCCCTACCTTTGTCTGGCTATTCCTAGAGGGAAGAGGTTGCATTGGAATATTGTTTCACAAATGCCATCTGGATCTGCTGCTAGATGGTGTCATGTTGGCCCCATGAGGGATTAGCTGTTTGAGATCCTCCCACCCCCTCCCACATGGTTTCCTCTCTGCTGCCTCAAGCAGGCACTTAGCACCTTGCAAGCAGGGCTGTATGCTAGATGGATGACAAAGGCCAATGCCCAGTGTATGTCATGAGAACACTGCCACTATCCTGCCCACCAGCCTTTTTGTCAACATTGTGGAATTTGGTCTTAGAGGAAATGGCTACTGGGTTCAAAAGAATTCTGAAACTACACACCAGAATCCCCCATGCCACATTCTCTTTCCATGACAGAAGAACAAGGTCCCAACTTGTGGTTATATTTGTGAGCTCACACATTAGAACCCAGGATCTATGGGCACACAGATGCCTCTCCTTCCTCCTCCCATCTCAGTCCTTTGTTTCCTAACATCTGGTATGAGGGTTAGAATCCCCTTGGTACTGGGTGTCCAGATCATTTGACTGACTGGGTTTAGGCTGACCTATGCTACTGTGAATAATCATTGATCATAGCCAAGCCACATGTAATATGTGACCACTTTCTGGCTATAGTAACTTAGAGGTTGAAACAGCCAGAAAGATGAGAATTAGGATCATCTGACCCTTCATAGAAAAGATTGGCTGGCCTCTGGCCTAAGACATTCTAGTCTGTGAAGGAACCAGATATTCAGGATACTAAGGACTTCAACACTTTTACTAAAATTGCACCAAGATAGAGACATGACAGCCTATTGTTGCCTGTAGACAGGGTGGAGAAGCACACAGTAGTCCAGCTAGCACAGGAAGCAGAGAAGGGAAGGGGAGGTCCCAGGAAAATGGATCCCAGGCTGAGCTGATGTCAAATCAACGTCAGGTCACTGCTGCCACCTTGCGGCCATCTCTCCTCTGTGAAGTGGCAGATGGTGTGGCTGTGTACTATGCTATGCTTGGTGAAAGTGCTCTCAGATGGAACAAAGCTCTTCTTCCTGCGGTGTCAGGCCTTGTGTACCTCCTTCCTGGCTCCACAGATCTACTCTTGTAATGGCACTTATACTGTTTAGCATTCAGCAAGTCACAGTTGAGTATCACTTTCCAGGGTAAGGCCGAAGATTATAGGTGCCACTTGGGGCAGCCATAGCGCCACAAGAAGTCACATTCCTTCATAGCTTGAACTTTCATGTGTGCGAGTGTTCATGTGTTCACATCAACCATTTTTTGGTGCAGCACCTGTGTTTGCATTTGTACAGATGTGGACCAGTATTCATGAGTACGTGTATGTCAGATCTGTAGCACTCTCATCTTTATTGTTTCCTTCAGTTGGCATTATAGGAACTAAGAAGCCAAGCCCAGTTTTCTGTACCCTTCAGCCACATGTAAAAGCCCTGCGAAGAGGAAGGTGGACAGCAGTGGGATACTCCCATATACCTTGCATCCCTACAGACTGTCAGGGCACTTCATAAATTTGACCTATGTTGGTTGACTGGATTGTGGGAAAATGTTAAGTAAGTCTTGGGGCTCTGATAGTGTCCTCTGTCTATGTGAAGCTGTCCCATGAGCCTCTCTCCAACATTATCTCCTTCTCATTAGATGGCATTAGAGATGGCAGAGGAGAGTTTAGGGGATATTGAGAAACTGGAGTGTTATGTTGCCTTATGTCTGATGCATCACCTTGCTTTTCCTTTTTCTTTCCTTTCTTCTACAGGCCATACAGAATCATAACTGGCTTTGGATGGCCAAGCAGTGAGAGTGGCTTCTCACCTGGCTAGCAAGTAGGTGTGAGTGCTTGGGGACCTTGTTGCTTGTCAGCTCCAAACAGACATGCCAGCCCTGTGGCTCTGAGCAGCATTGCTGCTGACACGCCTCCTCACATAGCTTCCTACTGTCCATGACTCTGCCATGCTGAAGGCCCATCACAGTTGAAGATGCGCAGCCCCATTGTGGGGCTGCTCACAGCCCTAATAGTCGTGTATTGGAAGGTTGTGGCATTTGCACCCAAACCACAAATTTCCTGGGAGCATGGAGGTGAGGACCATGACTGTGCAAATGCTGGTGGCATTAGGTTTGGGAGGTGCAGAATATATCAGGACATTGGGTAGATGGATGGACACCAAGCATTTGATCTGCCAGTTTCTTTCCACTTGGAGTTTGTGTGATCAGCTAGTCCATGCAGCTGTTCATAGAGATGCTTTGGTGACTGGAAATATTCTGTAAGATTTGCTGAGGCCCCTGATTTGGTTTCTGAATTGGGAATCCCTGAAGGGAAACTTCAGACTTAGTAATCCATAATGGCTGAGGTACTGCCAATAAAGGTGCTTACTTCATACAGGCAGTAAACTTAGTTTGTGACAGTTACGCATGTTTTCAGCTTGATAGTCTCACCTGTGGTTATTTTCTGTCCTGGTATCTGTGTTTTGGCCCTGGGGTCTCTGGCTTAGGGGATAGAAAAAGTATGCTAGGTGCTGAACAAGGGGCTAATTTTAGGATGGGCCCAAAGAGTCCCAGGACATTATGTCCCTTAGGGCCAGAATCTTTATGTTATGTGTACCTCCTACACTGGTACATTAGGGTAGTGAGATTTAGTCCCTGGTTTTTCCTTTTGTTTGTTGTTTTGCATTTGCATAGGTCACTGGGCATTTTCGGTGTGCTGCTGGGCACTCTGAGCAATGTTGGGATTTCAGTGAAATGCTATTCATGTTCTTAAGGGCATGAATTATATAACAAATTAAATATAGAACAATCGATTAAGCTATAGCTCTGAACAAGTAAGTCTCTGCTTTGGAGAACAGACATTTGGGGTTAGGCTTCCAGTGTGACACTGGTCATAAGTGGCATTTCAGACAGAGGGAACAACATGTGTAAGAAGTAACATGCAGTAAAGAGCTCGTGACACTTCCTGGACTCATAATTTTTCAACCAAATAGACACTTGGTTATAAATATATGGGAGCCAAGATTGATGACAAGGCAGTAGGAAAGATGAAATAACTTTTAAAAATAGTTCAGCTGGGCATGGTGACACACACTTTAAATTTAGCTATTGGAAGGTGGAGGTAAGAAAGTTGCAAGCAGCTACTTTGCATCAGAGCTATGAAACTTGGCACTTGTGTGAGAATTAAGTATGTTTCACAAATACAAAAAATACCATAAATGATTTTGTTCTTTCTAAACCTAATATCTGGATAACTAAGACACATAGATGAGATAGACAGGTAAATAAAAATGTCTGGCCTGGAAACTACTACTTGGAAATTACTGCATCGAGAGCTTGACAAGAAGGGTGGTCAGGTGTACAGCCTTGGATCTCAGACACAGAAGCTGCAGAGCCTGGCTGAGAGACGACTGCCCACTCACATTTGGCAGCTGCAATGCAGGACTGTTCTTGAGGTCTCCTGTGTCCCCGCCCTATACAACCTGTAGTTCATACTCACTCTAGCCAAGTGAGGCGCTCAGGATCTGTCCAGGCTTGAAAATGACTTTGTGGTTCTGCCTTCCCTTCCTGCCTGTAACATTTCCCTTTGCCTCCTACAGAAGTAGAGCTAGAGAGGTTTCATGAACCAGGCATCTATAACTACTCAGTCCTGTTGCTAAGCGAGGACCAGAATACGCTGTATGTAGGTGCCCAGGAGGCCATCTTCTCAGTGAGTGCACTGAACATCTCTAAGAAAAAGCATGAAGTAGCCCTCTTCCAGGAGCTGTACAGCCCTGCTACAGTATGAAGCCTCTTTCTCAAGAAACCCCTTCCTTCCCTGTCTTTATGCAATATCATCTTTGGGTGTTCACAGGAAACTCACAGAGCCCCTTAAGTGTGCGTGTGTAAGTGCTGGTATTGTGACTTCAACTCAGAGCCTGAGTACTGTTCCATGGCTTTTTTTGTTTAAAACTGGCATTCTACCATTTAAACTGTAACTCTACTTCTGGCTTTTTGTTGGTTAGTTAGAGGTAAGAGTCTCGTGGATTTTGCTACCCTTGAACTTTGCTCCTTAGATCTCAGTCTCCTGATTAGCTAGGAGTGAGTCACCAGCACCAGCATCTGGGTAAGTGCTCACCACTGAGCGGTACTGCCTTTTGCTCTGTACTGCTTTCTGTCCATTAGTGGCTTTGGAGAGTGGGCCCCTGATGCTCCTGATGCTACATCTAGGATACTTTAAGAATGGCACTGAGCTGACGTGCTATTAAAATTTTACCAGCTGCTGATGACACAAATGTCAGGAATTGTAATTATAGCATCCTTTGATGGAGTTGGCCAGAAGGCTCCTTTCAGTCAACACTTACTACTTGTAAGCATTAACATTCCTTACACCTATAAAGTGTACATTGATCAAATCTAGGTGTTTCTACCACACTCACTCTACCTTCCAGTAATCATGACTGTATTTCCAGGTTAATTGATTTTAGTTATTGCTCATGACAGAGAACATGCAGTACTTGTCCTTCTATGTCTGGTTGTTGAATTACACCATGATGCCAGCTCCTATAACTTTGACAAAGTAGCAAAATACAACTCACAAAAGCCCCCAGCTTTCTCTATACTAACAGTGAGGAGATAGAGTGGGACATTAGAAAAACAATTCTATTTGCAGTAGCCTAAAAAATAAAATTGCCTAGAATAAGCCTAACTCAGGAAGTAAAGGACCTCTACAATGAAAACTAAAACCTGTGAAGGACCTTACAATGAAAGCTAAAACCTTGAAGAAAGAAATTAAAGACATGAAGAAGTAGAAAGAGCTTCCATATTCCTGTGACCATACTGACAAAGGCAATTTACAAACTCAATGCAATACCCATCAAAATTCAAATATTATTCTTCACTGAGATAGAAGAAACAATCCAAAAAATTCATATGGAACCACAAAAGACCCCAAATCACAAAAGCAATACTGTGCAAAAAAGCAGTGCTGGAGGTACTCCAGATTTCTGACTTTACCACAGAATAATAGTTAGAAAAGTAGCTTGAAAATGTCACAAAAATAGGCCTAAAGACCAATGGAACACATTAAGAGACCCAGAAATAGTGGTTCTAAGAATGGCATCGAGCCATCTGCTATTTGACAAAGGCACCAGAAATTTATGTTGGAACTAAGCTTTTTAATCTCTCATTTGTTCCTCCCTCACAGGTATATTGGACGGTGTCAGAAGAGACAAAAGCAAAATGTGTAGAAAAGGGAAAGTCAAAAGATGTAAGTACTTTTGTCAGTTACAAAACCCCACAAGTGTTCCTTAGTTGTCTAATCTCACCAATGCTAAATGTGGCTAGACATGATACAGGGTTGAGTTGTCTCTGTACATTTTTTAGATTATCACAGAGTCTCAAGGAGCTCGTTCCTTTTTCCGATGATGGGGATGGGCACTCTTACAGCAGGTACACAAGGGACACTCAAGGAATGTAGTCCAATATGAACTGGATTTATCATAATTCCTGGGATTTGACTGGAAAAAAGCAATGATTTCTGATATCTGTTTGTATATAGTATAAAATTTAGGATGCCTGGTGCTCCCTATAGCCTGAAGCCTGGGCCTTACAAGGAAGGATATGGGAATGTTGGGAAGGAGCCCCTAGGCTCTTCAGCATGGTGACACTCAGGGACCACTAGGATAGTGTTCCTTCCCTCAGGAGCACTACTATTCATTGAAGCACTGCATCATTACCCACCCCCCACCCCCCACCCCCACAGTGCCCCACAGGCATACAGGTTCTCTGAGGGATCCCAGTCATTCCTGATCATTGCATTCCTAACTGCTGAGTCACAGCTCATTTCAGCAGTTGTTAGCTAATCACAAAACAAATATTTTTTATACCTCTTTCCAAATTTTTTTTTCTGAACTTTTTCAGGATAGTGATGTGTTTTTACCAAAGCATTGACTCTTAACCCAGTGTTCCTGAGGAAATGAAAGGACAAGAGGCACTCTAATGAAAGAAATACACATTCCAGGTTCCTCAAGAGTGGAGCGAGGCCAAGTGCTGGTGGCTCACGTCTGTACACTCACTGCTCAGTAAACTGAGACCTAAGGATTTGGGTCTGAAGCCAGCCCAAAAGACTTAAAAGACTCTTATCACTAGTTAACCAATCAAAAGTTTGAAGTAGAAGTATGGCTTAAATGGTAGAGTACAGTCTGGAGGAAAGAAAACAAAGCTAAGCAAGAACATGAAGCCCTGAATTCAAGCCCCAGTACTGCCCCTGTCAAAGTACATACATAAAAATAGAATGGTACAAAAGGGTGACAGTCAGTATAAACTCTCCTGGTTTGAGATAATGTCATATTTCAACAATATGTTTCAAATACTGTTTACTCTCAAATAGTGAATGGGTTCCTGAATCATACCTTCATTTTTCTGCTGGGGCCTTTATGATATACCACTATGATGCCTCTTCACATTTAGCTTATTTCTTTAGCTAGGACCCGGCCCTGTAGAAACAAAATACTCTTTGTGGTTCTGTGTGTGAGGAGTGAACTATGGTGTCCTCTGGAAGGCAGAAGCACTTTCTGTGCAGTGTATGTTGATTTGGAAACAAAAGGAGTGATCTCTATTTATGAGAATATTGTAGTATTTCCAGTGCAGGTTGGGGTTAAGCTGTTGCTGTTTAAGCCAAGTTTTCACCACATAATACTTAGTGAGCAGACTGAAATTATGTTCCTTTTATTTGAAAAACTTGTGGACATCGCAAAGATAAAATTGTGAAGCTCAGCTTAAGATTTAGGTATACATAGGCTTGGCTGGGATATTAGACACTGTTCTACTGTGTGAAGAGGTCAGGAGGTGGGTTGAAGTGGCACAGTGGAACTTCACAATGTGGACATAGAAGGTGCATCAATAGCTAGCTGTTGCTGGTGTTTCTTCATAGACAGAATGCCTTAACTACATCCGGGTGCTGCAGCCCCTCAGTGCCAGCTCCCTCTACGTGTGTGGCACCAATGCATTCAAACCCATCTGTGACCACCTGGTAAGTCCACAGACTCTCTCCATTAGCAATCTTTCTCATGGCAGCCTGCACAGTGGCTAAAAGAGAGTAGAGGCCCATGAAGACGTCAAATAAACCACACCACAAAAACCACTAGGCTTTTCTCAGATTGTCCATGTGAGGGCTGGGGCAGCTTGTAAGTGGAAAGCCTGGCATAAGATGTGGCTTAGATGTCGCTGGCATAGAATGTGTCTTGAGGCAGGACTCAGAACCATATGACCCCTTTGAGCTTTGGTGTCCTGGCAAAGGGCATGGCTTGAAGCAGGGCTCAGGATACCAGGATCCTTGGCACCAGTTGAGGGACATTCTAAGAAGTATGCTATATCTTTTGTGGTGTGACCTGTGTGATCTGGCTGTGGTGTGGTCTGCTCTGGGTAGTATGTTTGCTTGGTCAGTGCATTGACAGGTCTTAGGATGTTACCATTCATTGTCTGACCTTGCCCATTTGAGTGGCTCTCCTAAGTACACACACTTGATCAATAGGGAAAAGTAAGGTACATTCCATCCTTCCAAGAGTCATATCCTTGATTGCTATGGCATCTGGTACCAACTATTCTGTTAAGGTAAGGAGAGGCCTTCTTCTCACTAACCATTAGATGGAGTGGAAAGGTTATTTAGACTGTTGCTTCTAATTCTTTCAGGACAGATCCTTGTTTTTTATTTTATTGTGGAAATACCGTACAGAGGGGTTACAATTACATGAGCAAGGTAATGAGTATATTTCTTATCAATCATTGTTGTCTCCTCCCTTGTTTCCCCTTACCATCCCTTCTCATCTCCCCCCCCCCCCCAGGACAGATACTTTTTATTAACGTAATCACAGGAGCAATTTGATAATAATCACCAACAAAAGTAGGATGGGCATGTGAGGACTGGAAATGAAACACATTTTGTAGTAAGCAACCTTGGATTGAATAAGTACTTGGCAAATATGAAACATGTTATATATTTCCTAATGTGCTAGGGATAGTTCCAGGGCCCCTGGTGGATGCTTGAAACCTCAGAGACTACCAAACCCTACATAGATGACCAAGAGGGCTAAGTAGCTAGATCATATAGCACAGGTATAAAGAACAAAGGGTTTATTTATGTTCTATACAGAGCAGAGCAGGATGATAGGAGATCATCATACTACTCAGAACCTTCTTCATTTAGCTGCAAGTGACTGAAACCATGGTTGGGGGACTACATGAAAAGCTCATTTGCTATTAATTGGAGTTTTTATAAACATATCCTGAATTGTAGCTCAGTGGTATAGCACTTGCCTATTATGTAAGAGACTCTGAGTTTCATCTGTAGCACTGCAAAACAAAGAAACAAAAAAATCATCCCAATCCTAGGTCAAAGCCATGACATGGTAAGCCAGGCACTGGTGGCTCATGCCTTGTGATTCTAGCTACTCAGAAGGCTGAGCTATGAGGATCGTGGTTCAAAGCCATCCTAGGCAGGAAAATCTGTGAGACTCTCACCTCTAATCACCAGAATTGAAAGCAGAGCTGTGGCTTAAAGTAATAGAGTGCTAACCTTGAGCAAAAGAGTTTAGGGACAGGGCCTAGGCCCTGAGTTCAAGACCTTCAAGAGAAAAAGAAAAAGAAAGACAAATCATGATAAAATATGGACTCATTACAAATTCACTGAGGTAGCTAGGCTTGGAGTTTCATGGCTAGATGTTGTAGTCAATGCCTATAATCGTAGCATTTAGGAAAATGGGACGGCATTCAGGAAACTGGAGGATCATGAGTTCTAGATCAGTCAGCGTGGGCTATGTAGAGAGATCCTGTCTCAAACAACAAAAATCAAAAAAGAAATTCACATAGGAAACCTGGTGCTTATGGTGAGATCCATAGTGTAAGTCTACTTGGCTGTGTATACATACTCTGATGCTAGCTTCTAAAGTTGATACAGGGTAGGAGATGTTTGTAGGATATAAAGACCTTTATTCCTTGAAAACAAATACTTCTTTTTTATGTGCAAGAATAACAAAAAGAAGTTTACTGGAAACATTTGTTAAAGCATTTTCAAGGAAGAATATACCTCGTTCATCATTTGTAGACATAATACCCAGTTTATCATTGTCATTTCATTTACATGAGAGTTTTCTGATTATTTCTGTACTTGGATTTGTCTACTTTATTCCTTACATAGCTTTGGGTTTCCTGTCAGATAGAGAGATTATCACAAGATTGAAGTCCCAGTTTGTACTTTCTTTTAATGGGGCTTGAATTTGCTTTGGGTTTTGATTCCCTGGATCTACTTGGCATATGCCTCATTGGATAGAGGGAGGAAGGGATCCTGCTTTTGTATTTAGTGTTTCATTTAGTGCTGACTGTTCTTTGAATACTGTGGCCCTCTTTATGTTTTTTTATACATGGCTGTCATCACCTGATGAACATTTCTTGTATTTGATTCTCCCTGGCCTCCTAACAGCCCAAGAGCCACCCACATCTGTCTCCATTTTCCAGATGAGAAGTCTGAGTCTCTGAGATCATGCATAGCTGTGGTATACAAATTGAGCTGTGTAATATGCAGCATTTCCCCAAGATCAGCACCCCTATGCTCAAGCCTGCTGGTCTTAAAACATTAAAGAACTGTAAAATGTCAAAAAGGCATATTATCACAATAAGTCAGATACTTTATAAGGCCTTTTCTCTTTATTCCATTGTAGAACTTAACATCATTTAAGTTTCAAGGGAAAAATGAAAATGGCAGAGGAAGGCGTCCCTTTGATCCTGAGCACAGCTACACATCTGTCATGGTTGGTGAGTTCTGCCATTTAGGCTCTCTTGACCTCAGAGGTTATTATCAACTGTTGTGTCTCTGTACAGGACACTCAGCACCATTTCTTTTCGTAGTACTATTTTCTTTTTTAAAATTTAATTTTATTGTCAAGGTGATGCACAGAGGGGTTATACTTACTTACATAATGTAGTGAGTACGTTCCTTGTCAAATATTGTTACCCTCTTCATTTTTCTCCCACTTTCCCTTCCCCCAGTTCCCTCCACCAAGTTGTAAAGTTCATTTTCAACATGTTGTCTTATGAATATCACTATTGCATTGGTTCACCCTTTGTACCTTGTCTCACCATTTTATTGTTCCTCTTCCCTTCCCTAATTCAGATAAATTTATATACAATACACAGAGTACCAAAATCAAATACAATGACAACAAAAGATAAACCATAGAGAAAAAAAGAAAAAACACCAGAAAAAAGAAATATCTTCACATAGTACATTAAAAACAATAACAGCAAAGAAAAACCTCTTGTTTCCATATCTGGGAGTTCATTTCGCTTAGCATCATTTTATATGGTCATATGTACATAATTATTGAGCTGTTGTGATCCTTTTCTAGGACTATCATAGAAATATACTAATTATTACAAATGAGGGAACCATGGAGCCAAGTTTCTTTGGGTTTGGCTTACTTAATATGATTTTTTCAAGTCTTTGCATTTCTTTACAAATGGGATGATGCCATTCTTTCTGATGGAAGCATAGAATTCCATTTTGTGTGTGTGTGTGTGTGTGTGTGTGTGTGTATCACATTTTCTTGATCCATTCTACTGAGGGGCATCTGGGTTAGTTCCATATCTTAGCTTTGGTAAATAATACTGCAATGAACATGGTTGTGCTGGTAGCTTTATTATTGCCTTGTTTGTGGTCATTCTCTAGCTTTGTTGTAACATCACCTGCCCTTACAGAAAGATTATGTCTCTGGGCACAGAATTCTTAGGAAGAGTTTTAAATTCATCCCTTAAAAAGACCAACTGCCCTATAGTATCATAGTACTTTATATCCATTATTAGTACACAGCATTCAGATGTTTCTGTTTGTGAAAAAATTTTACCACAAATCTATGTCCTACCAATAATGGTGTCAGAAATCTTCAGCATGAGTTTTGACCCTAATGGATAGTTACTTCTGTGCCCAACCCATCCTTAGTTATATCAACTATATAAAATTTTGAAGGTGTACCCATACACCCATCCAGTCTTTACCTTAGTTCAGTGTTCATTGAATTACATCAGATATTCATCAGCTAATAAAATAGAGACTTGATATGAGACAATCGTGCTTTCATGCAGGATGCTGTAAGTATGTTGAACATGTTTATAGCAGTTGAGATGAGCTATGTTGTCTACATTGAGTAGAAGGTGCATTAAATTGTTTCAACTTACAGTGTTGTCAACTTAGGATGGTTTTATGAGAATACAACCCATGATAAATTATGTTCACTGTCATTTTACCAGATGTGGGAGTTCTTGCTTGCATTATTAATTCCTTTTATCTCATAAAATGCAAATCATCTACAATAATTCCAAAGAAAAGACACATATGGAGGAAAAAGTAGCATTCCAGAAGTAGGGCAACTATCTTTTCTCTCCTACATAAAGACTTAATTTGGTTAAAAAGAATCATTTTTTGTGCTACCACAGAGGGACTGACCTGATTCCCTTTCCTTTCCTGATTCCCTTTCCTTTCTCCTCTTTACTGCTGAGTTGCTTCAGATGGACAGCTTTATTCTGGGACAACAAGGAATTTCTTGGGAAGCCAACATACAATCTCACAAATTCATTCCCAGAACCCTCTGCGGACAGAGTATGCCATCCCATGGCTGTATGGTAATGTGTTATTGTGTCTTACCTACTGGATGTGCACCAGATCACTTCCTCTAAGCATCCCAAACCAAGATAGTTCTGAACTGTCATCTGCCCCTGGACAATGGGGAAAGTAGAACTGGCCACGGTTACTGCCAGAGTCCAAGGAACCGGTTCCTGTTTAGTTTGCTCTCTACTAAAAAAGCACCCTTTCTAGACTGCTTTTGTCTCCCACTCTGAGAATGGTTTGGGAATACTTTTGTAAAATTGACACTCTGATGGGAAATGGAGAACATTTGTCCCATTAAGATGTGGTATCATTTTAGCATGACATTAAAGGTGCAGCCTCTGTGCCAAACCCCCAGGACCTGCTCAGGTGGGTTCAGGATACCTTACTGCCTCCAGATAATCCCAGGCTGTTGACTGACTTTGAAGTACCAGTGGAAGGATTGTATTGGCTAGGCTTTTCTTCAATGTTCTGGCAAGCAGGACCCTGGGCATCTCTGAAGCCTCTTGGTCTATTGGCAGATTTATGGCCTGATATGTAGAGATAGCCGGCTTTCTGTCAGAGTGGGTTAGCCGAGGGTCTCAGGCTTAGTGTATCTGCTTCTGGTGGGTAGAGTTAATTAATTTTGTCACTTCTTTAAGTCAAGAGCTGGTCTTTTTGGCAACTGAAAGACTCCACTCGGCTTTTGGGCTTGTCTTGGGGAGATATGCTTGCTGCAGGAGCACCAAAGGGTGGTATCTGAGTCTGAAGAGAGTGTGGCAGATGGCATAGCACTGTCCTGACTCAACACGAGTTTGTTTACCAAATGGCGCACACACACACACACACACACACACACACACACACACACACACACACACACACACACACACACACACACACACACACACTCCAGATGTGCTTACAGAGATGGCCCAGATCCCAAAACTGCACCACTGATTGACCATGACATCATTAGGAGCAGATAGTAACACAGCTCTGTGTGCAGAGATAATCCTGTGTTGTCACTCTGCAGAGCCTAGCTTTGTCTATGCTGATGTGTTCAAAAAAACCCAAGACAGTCCTGAGGGTGAAGATGACAAGGTCTGCTTCTTCTTCACAGAAGTATCTATGGAATATGAGTTTATTTCCAAGTTAAAGATACCGTGCATCGCAAGAATGTGCAAGGTGAGCACTACCCTGCCCACACTTAGCTTCTGCTCCCTAGGAACAGACCTGGAAGTGCACATTTCCTTGTGACCCTACCTTCCTGCCACAAATGTCATTGTTAAGGGTCCTGGCATGTACTAGGCTTCAGTTTTCAGACACTCTACTGGTATCTATGAGGGCTAAGAGGGCATTGGCACCCAGCATGCAACCAATCAGCTTGTGGTTCTCAGACCTCCATAGCAAAAGTGACAAATGGATAAAAGTGACAAAGTGACAAATGGAAAACTACTGTTCAGAGCTCTTAGCTAACTACTAGTGAACTGTAAACCAATGCCGGAGTTGAGGAGCAAGAACTACATTAAAGTATTTCTTACACGCAAAGCTTGAAGATGTGGGGAGTTTGTAGGGATAGGGAAGGGTGCAGATAATTATTTTAAAAGGAAATGCTTGGCATATAACTTAAGTCATGAAAACTCAAAGTGAGTGGCTGTCACTTTTAGGCAATATAACAGCAGGATCCCACCCATGTCTGTCTTACTCTTCATCTTACAGAGTTGAGTACCATGAGTGTCCAGGCCAGGCTGGTATATGGCGATTGGATGGTAAATGGCCAGGACTCTCTGTAAGGTATGAAGTACTCTTAACAGCAGCACTGGCCAGAGGAACCTGGTGCTCCTACTCTCCAGCCTACCTTCAGATTGATTGGTAATTGGCAGGACATAGAAGCCACACTACTTCGTGACCCTGATCTCATCCTAGCATAAGTGGTTTCAAAAGCATCCTTGAACAAGATCCCTCAGGACTTATTGTAAACTGCCTCTACTTTTTCCTCTCCACCAAAATTAATCTCATGGGCTCTGCAAGTGTAAGGTGACTTCTGCTGTCCCCTCAGAGTCCTTATCCTAACCTGCTCTCACTACTGGACTGAGGCCAATTTGAGTACACCCTCAGTCCCTGCCACCCTGTGCACACAGACCCTTCCACTGCTCCACAGGACCTGAGGAGCAGGAGACAAATGACCACAGACATACTGGAAATTTACTTTGCAAAACAGCAGAAAGACAATAAAAGCCTCATAAAAATCATTTGTCCTCCTGTGATCACACAACAGTGATAGAATAGGGTGAGTTTTTCATTGTGTACAAAATACACAAGGTCCTTTTCTTCTGTGCCAGTCTCAAGCTTGAACACAGGGCCTGGGTACAGTCCCTGAGTTTTTTGTGCTCAAGGCTACCATGCTCAAGACTCTACCATTTGAGCCATAGCTCCACTTCCAGATTTTTGGTAGTTAGTTGAAGATAAGAGTCTCATAGACTGTCTGGCCTGGGCTGGCTTCAAACCAACATCCTGAGGTCTCAGCCTTTTGAGTAGCTAGGATTACAGTAGTAAGCCATTGGTGCCTGGATAACAAGGATCTTCTATCTCATATTTTACTGCATGTCTATTTCCTACTTTTGGTTCAGTGATGCCCCTGACCCATGGGATGTTCATTCTAAGAACCTCAGAAAATTCCTGAAACCACAGACAGTACTGACCCTATATATGCTGCTTTTTCTATACATACATACCTATGGTAAAGTTTAATGTATAAATTAGACATCATAAGATGTCAGAAATAATAACTAATGGTAAAAAGAACAATGATGAAAATATATTGTAATAAGATTCATGTGAATGTGGTTTCTTACTCCAAAAGGTAAAAACAAATAGTAATAGACTGTGACTGATCACAGACAACCACAGGAAAGTAACCATGAAAAAGAGGGATCAATACATTCTCTCTGGAACATAAATTCATGTGAGTTCAGGTTGTCTCTTAGTCATCAACTAGTGGTATCATGGGACAAGCTAGTAGGTGGAAACACTTTCACCATAAGTCAGCAAGTGCAATGGAAGTATAAGCTTGGATCTCTCAAAGAAGGTCATCCACAGATTTCATAGTCTTCAGGGCAGGAGGCCACCTACTTCTTACTAGGCTTTTGCCTAGTGGCCAAGGGCCAGTCCAGATCAAAATTAATGCTAATGCTTAGTGGTACACAGTAGATGTGGTTGTTTTAGCTGTCATCAATAAGTTCTAAGGGATAATATCAGAGTTACGTGTTTTGCTTAACTTTGATCCAGAGTCTGATCAGAGCCATCATAGAAGTAACTACTTTCCTTTCACTCAGAGAGATTGTCTAGTAGGCCTCGCCTGGCACTGGCAAGAGCCGGTGGGCACTACACCCTGCTTGCACACCACTACTTGTGGAGTCATGTTGGCTCCCTCACATGTCTTGTCTCTGAGGTTTCAGGGGGACAAGGGTGGCCTGAGGATCTTGAAAAAAAAGTGGACCTCCTTCCTGAAAGCCAAGCTTATTTGCTCCTGGACAGACGTGCACTACATCTTCAACATATTGCAAGATGTCTTTGTGCTACAGACTCCAGGCCTTAAAGAGTCTACATTTTATGGACTCTTTACTTTGAAGCTGTAAGTGCCCTTGGTGGGTGGGGTATATGTCCTTTTCATGGCCTGCTGCTCTGTGGGTACTCATTGTGGCCTGCCCTTTTCAGGGACAACACGGAGCTGTCTGCTGTCTGCGCCTACACACTGTCCATGGTAGAGGCAGTCTTCACACATGGGAAGTACATGCAGAGCATCACAGTGAAATCCCATACCAACTGGATGAGCTACAACGGCCCTGTGCCTACTCCAAGGCCAGGAATGGTGAGAGGCATGGGGCCTTCTGGAGAAGGCTATGCTTCTCATTCAAGGTTCTAGGCTCAGAGGGTGAAACTTGACATAGTGTTCCCTGTAGGGGTGGTGCCTGGCCACAGGGCTTCTATCTACACAAGAAATGTCCTCCTGGCCTGAAGGCTGAAACATGCAGCTGGCCCTTCTGTTCATTCTGCACTGGGTCTGTCCAAATAGAATATGCTAATGACACACTACTTGTGAAATTAATGTTGCATAATATAATTAAGGATTAACTCCCATAGAAAAACACACTATTTCTCCACAGAAACTTCTACAGTGTCATGTACTATCCTGACCACTACTCAATAGGAGTCACAACTTTTCCAACTAAAAATAGTAAATTTTAGGTAAAAAAGAAAAAACATCTAGACTGTCTTAGGTATCCAATTATTGTTACCCACATGGTGTTTGTCTTTCAAAGGGGCCCTGACCTGATCCATGTGACAATTCCCAGGACCAGTTCTCTCTAGGTGTCTGGCCCTGACTCCATCACCAGCCCTTCTGTGTATACTGGTTGAATTCTGGTTTACATATACTAGGAAGCTGATATCAAAAACTCATTTTCTACTTTCATCTTTTATGCTGTTTAGAATTGGGCTGTTTTTCAACCCAGTATGTAGTTTGCTTCTTGCCAAGTGGGAAATCTATCAAATGTGTTTTCAGTTTCAAAAGCCCAATAGTTTTTCATTGATAAATAATTTCTGTCTTGATTATGGGCAGGCCCAGGTTAATCTCAAAACATAATTGTATCTTGTAGACATGCTGTAGAACTGACCTCTGATGATTGCAGAAAGACTACTTCAGGTTTCCACAGTCACCCTTCTTTGGAGGCATTCAGTGTGTGACCCCAGTGCTGTACCTTACATAATTCCTGATGCTGTGCTTGGTCAGTGATGGTCAGGCACATTAACCAGGAAAAATTTTGCCCTCAACAGTGCATCAACGGCAAGGCACGCACAGCCAACTACACCAGCTCTTTGGATTTAACAGACAAAATACTCAATTTCATCAGAGACCACCCTTTGATAGACGACTCAGTAACTCCAGTAGGCAACAGGTCCAAGTTAGTCAAAAAAGATGTAAAATATACCCAGATTGTGGTGGACAGGATCTGGGCTCTGGACTGGAAAGTCTATGATGTAATGTTTGTCAGCACAGGTAGGTTCTGAGGATTTGATAGTCACACTGTCTCTGTGTTCTTCACTTAATATCCTTTGTAAGTAGATCACAAAGCATCTTCCCTGAGGTTACCCAAGCAGTTTGTGAGAGTGTAAACGGATTTCTGAGACATTACTACACCAGGTCTCTGTGACCCTCAGATAGTTGGAGTGCTTGTTAAACTTGCAGGTCCTAGTCTGTGTCTGTGCTGAGCTGCTGCAAAGAAATGCATGTTGTCACAGGACCCAGATAATATCCAAGGCAGCAGCAGTTATAAGCACCAATCACCCTGGCATTCCTCTGGGCTGGTGGAGTCTTTGTCCCTGTCCCATGGAAACAGCCAAGGACAGATTTGTCCTGACCTGTGGGAGACATACCTCCCCTCATCTATACATTCTGGAATGAGTATTTCTGGAATTAGGAAAATGGCCTGCAGATACAGTAGCTGGCAAGCCACTATGTTCACCCTTGGAATATTCCAGCTGACTTTTGTGCCACGTAAGCGTCTGCTTGGGACCTCAGTTTGGTTGAGTCCCTGGAGAACTATTGGTACCCAGAAACCACCTCACATGGAATCTACCTTCAACTGTTTCAGTATCAACTTTGTTAATGAAGGTTGTTGAGAATCAATCATGGGTCCAGGTTCTCATTCTTTATAAGAAAATCAGATTAAAACCTGCAACTCGAATTTCAATGCTTTATTTTGCCAAGGGCTTTCTTTTCAGTCCTAATACAACTTTTTCCTCTTAGTCTATGCATTTCATTGAGAAAATGACTTGAGAATAGAAAAGGGGGGAATGTTTGCTACTGAAATTGGTGTCTTTGGTGTGTCCCTCTTGGGCTGTCTCACTCACATGTGGATTTGACTTTGCAGACCAGGGAACCCTGCACAAAGCTGTCACACTTAAAACATTGAGGAGATAAGGCTTTTCCAGAACTCTGAACCAGTCCAAACACTGCTATTGTCTTCAATGAAGGTAAAGTGGCTCAGTCAGCATGGCTGGAGGGGTGGGGCTGCCTGGCAAGGTGGCTTTGCCTGGCTGTGGTGTTAGACTGGCCAACCTGGGCTGCCTAGCTCGTGTGAGGTGGCCTTGGGACATGCACACAAAGCCATTCTAGCATTATGTAGACAGGCTCTGTCCCATGAATATCGCCTCTTGTGCCCTGAACCTGTGCAATTGCAGACTGTGTTGGTGAGATGTCATGTACGTCCTTATCAATGAAGGAGTACAGAAGAGAAATAATAGGTCATTCTACGGATCCTTGAGGTAACAGATGTTTACTGCCAATGGCCTAGGATTTGGAGACTTGGAGGCTGAGAACTCCAGTACAGGTGCTCAGTTCTGTTCAGTAGTCCCAGTTGGTTGTGGATGAGATGTGTAAGAGTAAACCTGCCTCTGAACACCAAGCTTAGCATGTCCTAAGCTTTTCATAGGTTATCAAATTCCTCTCTTTTCAACCTCAAAAGATGTAAAACAGTTTACTAGAAGGTTGAATCAGACTTCTGGACTTGGCCTCTGGCTGTAGCATGCCATCCCTTGTCACATGTCTATGTGGCCATGGGAATTGGTACTACTCCATTTTACATCCGAGATGGAGAAATGAGGAACACAGTGCAGGCAGATTCTGACTACTATATGTGGCTGTGTAACCCTGGGTAGCCAGCTATCTGCTCTTTGTCTCAGTTTCCTCATCATACAATGAGTTTAAAAGCACATCTTCACTGGTGACTGTGACTATTACATGAGTCGTGTGTAGTACAGGATCCATGGAAATTATGTGGAGAATGGCATCTGACCCTACTGAGATGCCAAAGGGAATACTCTGCCATGTATCACTCAGCCCAGGATACTCCTTCTCATTATTCTCTTCACCAGGGTCCCTGAAGGTCTTATGCACGGGACCAATATTGTGGTCTTCTGCCCTAGGTCACAGTTGTAAGTTGGATCACATTTGTGGTGTCCATTGCTGACCTTGCTATGTGGCCTTTCTCATGTATACCTACCTCATTGTCAAGATCTGGATCTAACAGAACTAGTCTCTGGCTAATGTGCCTCTCTCTATGCCTGAGAATCTCAGGTTTGACTGCAGTGTGCCAGAGCAACCTGTTGGAGGTGGTAAACATTCACGTTGGCCCTGCAGAGGGCTGAATTTCTGGAGCTGGTGCTTGCCCAAGCCACTCTGTGAATAGACCACAGATGAGTCCCTTTCAGCCCCCATCCACCTTAATGGAGCAGAGCTGACCTGTTGACATGTATATGTTTATAAATATCCCTTCAGGGTCTTGTTCCCTCCCCATCCACAAAGCACAAGAGCCTGTAGCTGGTTTTCAGTCCCCGGTTCCTCATCTTCCTCCCCTGTCAGACATTGTGGAGTCCATTTGCTCAGCAGTTCTGAAAGGGAAAGAAAAGGAAATCTTAAGTGATCCATGAGTCTTTTGATACTGGGTATCTGTACTAGTTTGCACTCTGGTCTTAAGATTCTAAAGGGGCTGAAAGAATCCAGAAACTTGCAGCATGGCTGTATTAGCCGGTCTTTGCCATCCCTCCCCTTGTCCTCTCTATCCTGGCTTCCAGATAGGAGATGGCTACCCCTCTATACACCTCATTAAGGCTGTACACTGCTGCTCACTAGATTATTCTCTTTTTTGCCTATTTGACAGTGTTGTGGTTTGAACTTATACCTTGTACTTACCAGGCAGATGGGAGCCATTCCCTCAAAGCCCTTTTTTTTATATAGTGTTGCATGTTTGCCAAGGCCAGCCTGGACTTCGTTCTCCTTATTTATGGTTCCTGCGTAACTGGGATGTCACCCCACTTCCAGTTTGTTTATTGAGATGCGATCTCACTTGAACTGATTTTGGAAGGTGATCTTCCCAAACTATGCATCCTAAATAGCAGGTGTGACACACTAGGCCTGGCCTTTCCTTCCAGTGGCTCATGCCTGTAATCCTAGATACTCAGGAGGCTGAGATCTGAGGATCACAGTTTAAAGCTAGCCCCAAGTAGGGGCAGGAATAGCTGTATGATTCTCATCTCCAATTAAGCATCATAAAACTGGAAGTAAAGCTGTGTGCAAGCAGTAGAGCATTACCCTTGAACAAAAAAGCTCAGGGACAGTGCTCAGGCCCCAGCACTAAATAATGCATACATACATACATGTATACATACTTGATTTTGAAATGACTTTATGATTTTGGATTTTCAGGATGGGGTGATGATAGCATGGCCTCGCATAGGGGCATGTCCTGCAGCGGGTAATGCTCACTGTCCTTGGGAGATGGCTTCCTTCTCACTTCCACGTTTACCCATTGACCCTGTAGGGTATGGCTCATTGTCAAAAGTGGTTGCATTTGAGCTCCAACCAAGCCTATGAGAAAACACCTTAGGATTTGGGGTGCAGACCTGGGGCCTGAAAGATTGTTCTGTAAACTACCTGTTGGCATACAATGTGAAGCCTTGCTGTTACCACCCCTATCCTGATGGACCTATCCACAGCTAACCCCTATCTTCTACTTCTACCCATTCATTCTCACTGGGTAAATAGATGAGGCTGAGCACCCCAAGACTGCCCGGTGCCACCAGTCTCTGTAGGAGTTGTCCATGCCAACTCATAGGTGTCCCCAGCAAGATCCATTCTGTCTACTCCTAGGAAATGGTTATACACGTCCACAATAAGGTGACTACACCAGGTTGATCTGGAAGGGGTTGGTGTCAAAACTGCCCAGGTCTGTTATAAAGAGGTAACTGAGACTAGTTCAAGTCCTATCTTCTGTTTGTTTTTATCACAGTTTTCATCTTGGGAGAGGAGTTGCTTTCCCTTGTGTATCTGTGCTTACTCAGGCAAGTATGTAGCCCTGGGTTTTTGGAAGCCTGCAGCCTGTGAGACTTGAGTTCAAGAGAGGTTCATGAGCTCCAGCCAGATGTTGAACTGATGCTGAATGTACCCTCTAATGGTGAATAAAAGTTGTATGTCATCTGACTTTAAAATACCGACTTGTGTGGACATTTAGGAATCTGATTCTAGAATAGGTATTCTAGGTTGTTAATTGGAAACAAGGTTTTTCAGGCCAAGGACAGAGATGTGATGTGTGCTACCACATTTGTGCTCTTCTTCTGCTGAGTTCATTAGATACAATCAACACTCCTGATCATCGGTATCTGGAAATTCTGCTGGTATCTAGTGGGCTGCTGGAGTGGCCCTGAAGCTAGTGACAGACCAAAGCTAGTGTGCACAATGTTAGAAGAGTTTGCAGCACTTGAAAACACTCCATAGTTGTTTCCATAAAGTCTGGAGGGGCTTGGAGATCCACCTTATGTCTGTTCTGTCTCTGCTTCCTACACACAGGGCAGCAAGTTTATCTACGCTGGCTCCCACTCAGGAGTGGTCCAGGTCTCCCTGGCCTTCTGCAGGAAGCACAGCAGCTGTGAGGACTGCGTGCTGGCGCGGGACCCCTACTGTGTCTGGAGCCCATTTTCAGCTACTTGTGTGGCTCTTCATGAGGCCCAGGACCGCAGCAGGTACTGGCCAGTTACCATGGGCAAACTCTTCAATGAATGCACAGTGACTTGTGAGTGTCCTTTGTCTTGCAGGGCTTGGATTCAGGATATGAGCGGTAATGTGTCTTTATGCCTAGGTGAGTGCTCCTCATTGAAATACCACTGCGACAATAGCCAGGCCTCTCTACCATTTTACAGTGCTTTGGGTCTGTCGTGTTTGCTTATCTTGTTTTTCTTTATCCACTCTGAACAAAGGTCTTATGTCGTGTCCTACACCAGTGAGTGGCCTTTGTTCCCTTGATTACAAAAAGAATGTTTGAACCTATGTAGGGTATGTGGGCACACTGGAAAGTACTCCCTGTGCCCATCTTTTCTGTTTTGCTTAGCTGGAGCTCATTTAAACTATGACCTGTTAAGAATGGGAAAGAAGCAGCCATTGGGTATGTGTTCAACAGCTCTGATCCAAAATCCACAAATCAGAAACATGCCAGTGTGAGTGAAAAGTTCCACATTCTAAAACTGTGTTTCGCGCACAAAATTATGTTTAAAAAGGTATAAATTTACTCAAGCTCTCTGTATAAGATATACTTGAAACATAAATGGAGTCTATAGTTAGACAAAATATTATCTCATTATACATCTGTAAATATCTGAACAGATGAGAAATCAAAAAGTTTTCTGATACCAATACCTTTACAAGAGGCATGTATGCCATAGTTACTTCCATTAGTGTGTACCTCTTTGCAGGATCCCATTCCCTGTGACTGGTCACTGGGAATGTGTTGTGACCAGAGGCAGGGTGCAGTCAGGCCAGGATGTCCCAGCACCAGCCCTCGTCTCCTCTCTGCAGACAGTCGTCTTCAGGTTATGAAAAGTAGAGGAGAAGGGTATTGACTGCAAGATTCCCTGAAGTTGCTAGGAGAGCGTTTGACTTTTGACTCAGGGTGCCACTGTTAGACATAGAGCTGGCCAATGCCTGGCCTCCCCAAGCCTGATGTATTTTCTCCTGGGACGTGCAGTGATGAGGGGGATTTTTGCTATTCAGACTGTCCTTTTTCCTTGTCCTCAGGGTCTGCTTTTATTTGTTTGTGCATGTCTTTATCTTCTCAGTTGTCCTGAAGATTAATTGTATTCAATTATTGAGGCTATTGTGTCGTATGAGGTATTAACCTAGTTTTGAAAGCAGTTAGGTATATGAACAGAGTTGTCTATGCAGTGCACATTTATCTTGATGTTCCAGATAAAAGTAAAGTAAGCCTCCAGCAGCATATTCTCAAGCATGGTGAGATGGTAGAACTCAAATGTTCCTTAAAGTCCCACCTGGCCCAGGTGGTGTGGAAGTTCCAGAATCGTGTGTTGAAGACCAAGAAGCATAAGTACATTCTTGTGGACAACAAAACCTTGGTTATCTTCAAACTGTCCTCATTCCTTATGTATGTTCAAGACAATTGTTCTAAGTGGCTTATCAGTATGGATTTAATTTATGTGTATTTCCAAAAAAGGTCACATATTAGACTGTTTAAAAAACAAAGGCAGGGGCTGGGAAGGTGGCTCAGTGGTAGAGTGCTTGCCTTGCATGCCTGAGGCCCTGGGTTCGATTACTCAGCACCACATAAGAAAAAAGAAAAAAGCTGGAAGTGGCGCTGTGGCTCAAGTGGTAGAGTGCTAGCCTTGAGCTGAAGAGCTGAAGGACAGCGCCCAGGCCCAGAGTTCAGGCCCCACGACCGGACCCCCAAAAAAAAAAAAAGGCAAACAAGGCCAGTGGAGTGATGTGTTAGAGTGAACACTTAAACTGACTCCTTTTGCTGCTTTTTATTTGATGGCTTCAGATGGCTTATGGTATATCCTTCTATATTATATATTGTCTTCTTTGTTCTGAAGGTACAAAGAAGAAACTGTTTGAATGACAGATGTTTTACATTTTGGTAGCTGATGTTGATGTACCAACTATCCAATGGAGGAGAAAGTCACAGTTCTTGAATAACTTCTTCTACCAAGGTTAATTTCTATTTTAATTTTTAATTTCATTTAAAATTTTTAATATGTTTTATTTAAATTAATTTTTTAATTTTAATTTTTATTGTGATATCTGACCTTTAAAATAGGAGTGTAATTTTGTACGCAATAAAAGAATGTAGACTTTTGCATATGCAGAGGGTTTAGAAATGCAGTGTAAAGGGAAATGTTGTGACTTGGAGACACTGATCCATGGTGGGCTGTGTGTTGCAATGACAGCTGGTTGTGGCCCAAGCAGTCCAGACCAAGTGACACTTCCTTCTCTTTTTGTGTCTTCCTGCAAAATACTTCTGTGTGGGCTGGCAGAGGCTTGTCCAGAATACATGCTACAGGCTGTGTGGTTGCAGTATGGTGGAAGCTTTGGAACTTGATGCCCCTAAGTCATAGGAATGGCAGCTGGCTGGTAGTCAATAACACACAGGTGGGGTGGCTTCACACAGCTGGAGTCTATAAATGGAAGTACACACTGGCCATCTAGTTTTGATGGCCCAAGTTTGCGAAAGCTAGAAAACTGAGGAGTACGCTGGCCTGGGGATAGACACATGGTGGTGGAGGCTGGGCAGAAACAACCCAGAAAGATAAGGAACGGCTCTGTAGGCCAGAGAGAAGGTGAGAACTGGAGGGAGCCTAGGTTACAGGGTTAAAGGATGGGGTTTTCCAAATGTGATTGGAATGGGAAGATGACTCTAGATAGCCCAGGGGAGCCCTAAGTGCTATTACAAAGGGTGAGACATGCATGGAGAAGGAAGCAGGTGCTGCATTACGACTGGAGCAAGGAGGAAACTTTCTTTCTAGCCTCTTAGGTGATTGTAGGCATTGTCAATTAAACCAACAAAACACAGATTTACAAGGATTAAGGTAGGCAGATTTTAATATCTGCACTTATTGGTACTACAAAGAAAAGCAGTGAAAATCCAAAGAAGCAGTTAGAAGGAGGCTGACATACCACTTGAAGGAAGGGTGAAAAATGGCAGAGAAATGGCAAAGAAGAGGGTGCTAAATTTTGTGAGGGGATGGGAAGCATGGTGGATACGTGTTGTTTGTTCACAGACCCATGTTGCAGCAATCTCTGGTTGTCCTAGTATGGGACTAGGACAGCTGATGGTATATTTGTTTCCGGAAGATCAACACGGCCACGTGGATTCTTATTTCCTATGAGAGATTCCAATTCAGATTTAAACGTAATAGAGTGGTAGCAACATTTATTAAGAATACAAAGCTTGTACAGAAAGGCACTTTCTGAAGTAGAATTGGGTTGTCTCAGGGATAGAGATCAACAACGACCATTAAATCCACGTTGGCCCAGGCTTCTATTGACATTTAGGGGCCTTCGTGGAATAGCACATTCAGAGTGCAGCCTCTGCTGGGAAGTATCAGATGCTAAAGAATGCAGGCAGTCTGGCAAAGATGAAAAGGCAAAGAAAGTATTCCTTGGCCTTCAGGAGGCACACTGTCAATCCCTACAACTTAGAAAGCCTCAACCAAAGTCTGGCTTCCACAACTGAGATCCATAGTGCATTCTTAAAATCTAGTCTTGGTTCCAAAGGAGCTTTGCATTCACTTAGAGATAAAGTCAAGGCCACTGTTGCCCAGCTGTAAAATGGAGTGCAAAATATATTATGTACCAGTTACATTCAGACCACAGTCTGTGTAAGAGTCACTTGGAATGTTTGGCTTTCCTGCAGGCTGCCACTGCTAAGGGCCAAGGTGTTCTCTGTGTAGCACTGTGTGTAGTACAGGCATCATAGGTACAGTGGTATGGAAGCTGAGGAGGTTGGTGTCTTGTGGCCAGCAAAGTATGGGTTAGGAGTTAAGGACAGAGGATGTGCTGGGGAAGGAGTGATATGAACAGTGCTTTAAAGGGCATGAATGAAACCAGCATCACCAGGTAGGATCAGACTATGAATACAGGAAGAAGAAGATTAATGTAAGAACAATTATGAAGAGCATAGTTGCCTGAGATACTGTTATTGCTGTCTAGTTGAAGAAAACCCCTCACATGCTGATCCAATCACATACACAAATTGCCATGGCTGTTCTGAGACTCTGTCTGCCTCCATCCCCAATGATCACCATATCGGGACACCTCTCCCTGACCCAGGGCCACTGGTCAGACTCCTGTATAGCTACTGCCCAAGGGCGGTCCATGTGCTAATCACCCTGTGCTTTATGACAACAGCCACATGTGAAAACACACGTAGACATTCATGTTTGCCTCCTTCAAGGCTCTGTAGCAGTTCCCTATAGTTGGTGGCTATAGGGGAAACCTTGCTGAATTACATTTGACCTCAAGGGCATGGTTTATTGGCCTGGGTAGGAAAGTTAAAATCGATTATTTCAGAAAGTATTCCTTGGCCCACTTTAGGCTAGGAGCCTGTCATTAAGTCTTACATTGATAAGCTACTCCAAAAAAAACCCACCATGTGATAGTCCAAGACCTTATGGGGCCAGATAGGCCAGTCATCTTTAGCGTGTAAGTTCAGTTGCCATGTTTTCTCCTTGACACCTTGTAATCTCACCCTCCATTTTTAATTTCATCTGCATTTCTACATGGCTCATGGCTAACTGCTACCTACCAATGGGTAGGAGGAAGTTGTTTCTATTTTTTAACTAAAGCTTCTATGTGACATCCATCTCACTTTTCCATGGCTATTAAGTCTTATTCTCATACAACACTAAATCTCCTTCTCTTGATCAGGATCTAAGTCCCCATAGACTCTGCCACACTACTTGACAGCAGCAGCCTTAGGCCGACTACACAGGCTGTGGTCCTAACTGGTACATGAGGAGAGCTGGTAGGCAAGGTCTCCTTGCAGCCTGCCCTCTCCACTGGACTTTAAGGTCCTTAATGTGATAGCCTACCAAGGCTAACCTATTATCAAGCCTATCACTCAACCTCATTCCCTCAGATCTTGGCTCCCAAGTCCCTTGATGGATTGGTCCATATATGTCACACCAGGGAAGCACAAGAAGACACCCATTTACATTTACCACTATCAAGCTCAGACTCAAAAATAAGAACTAGAAGTAAACAGAGAGAAAGTGAGAGAGAGCACATTTGCCTTTCTTCAGCCTCCTTATGCTAGATGTTGACTTGCAAGAGTAGGGAGAGATAGAAGGGTTAATTGTCTCTGCCCTGTCCTTTGAAATAATAAAAAAGCTGCAAACTCTCCATGAATAGATAGAAGTAGAAAAATGAGAAGTGTATTGAGAAAAAGAAAGCCCTAAAACTCACTGTATTGTCCCCGTTTCAGGTAGCTAGGTATATCTCCATATTTTAGAATAGGAAACAGTATCCATTCTGGCCACTCAGAGCCATAGTCTAATGGTTGGAAGTTTTTAAAAGACATCCTGTCATTTTAGCCACAGTTCCCACTACCAGCTTTTTATTGCTTTATTGAAGATAAGAGTTTCTTGGATTTGTTTGAAAGAGTAGGCTTAGAACTGAGATTCTCAACTCTCAGCCTCCTGAGTAGATAAGATATCATAGGTGTGAATCATGGTCCAGTTCTCTTAATAGAAGACTTTTGCCAAAAATACTTGCATTCTGTTACAGGTGCCTGGAAGGGCTTTATATTTTAGTAGACACAGAAGAAAAACCATCTTAAAACTATTTCTCTATACAAACACATTAACAAAAATATATTTGTTAATAGAGTCATACTATAAAAGAGTTGCATTCAAATTACACATGTGACAGAATTTAAAAGATCGAGATTACTTGTCTAAGTAGCTATGACCCTTTTTACAAGCTCACAATTAGTCACATCAACTTGCTTGTTTTCACACCTCAAGTTTAAAACAACTTCTTTATTTTTCAGTAGTGGGAGCCTAAGTGTTAAGGTCTAAATTCCTATAATATTTTAAGTAGACTTGGGTGAAATAAGAACTTTGAAGACTAGATTTTCTTACAAATGGCAGAAGAGAGAGAACAAAAGACAGAGAAAAGACACAATAGCTTCTCCACATTAATTTCACAATTAAGGATCATCCATCCTAAAGCTCCGACCAGAGATAGACTTACACTTGTAATCCTATTCAAGAGGCTAAGATCTGAGGATCACATGAAGGTAGCCTAGGCAAGAAAGTCCATGAGATTCTTATCTCCAATCAAACACGCACATGCACACACTTACACAAATACACAAATCGAGAAATGGAGTTGTGGCTCAAGTGGTAGAATGCTAGCCTTGAGCTAAAAAGCTCAGGAACAATACCAGGCCCTGAGCTCAAGCACCAGAACCAGCACGCACGCACGCACACACACACACACCACATACATACACACAGAAAAGCTACATACACATACACATGTACACATATATGCAAGGGGGACTTATATTAGGCACACATGAACTGAAGAAAATGCAAAAACTTAACTTAGTGACCATAAAAGAACAGTTCTGTAACAATCTCA